CAGGTGCATCACCTAGGATGTGAGGACACGTGGCTCTGGTGTTCCTAGCTCAGCTGGCTTCCTAGACCCAAGGAGGATGGGCATTCACACCTCTGCCAGTCCCGCACATGGGCGCGCAGTCCTGAGCCACCCTGGGGTCTGCACTGCTCTGGGAACATGGCAGCCTCTCCCTGCCCCCACCTGCTCTCACTGCTCTAGGCAGCGCCCTGGAACCCAACGCCCGCTTCCCGTGTCTGTGGTCGGCCTGCCACCCAAGCCACTCTAACTGGGTCACAGGGAGCCCAGAACCTGGGGTCTGATGGGAAAAGCCAGTGGGTCATTGAGCACCTGAACCCGCTCCTCCAGTTCTTTATCTTTTTTTTTTTTTAACTACACAAAATCAAACCAGACTTTTAAAAAATATGTTTAATTGCCTTTGTTGAAAGAATTACAGCGGTCCGCCCCTTTTCCCCCCATTTACCCCACTTCTCCTGGGTCCCAGCCCCTCCCCAGGCCTTCACCGCACCGTTGTCTGTGTCCTCTGGTTAATCGCTGCTAACCTTAACCCTAACCCCGGCCTTCCCTCTGAGATTTGTCAGTCTGTATTGATTTTTTTTTAATTTTATTATTGTTTAAAATATTACAGATGTCCCTTTTTCTCCCCAATGACCGGTTCCACCCCGTTCCTTCCCCCTCCCCAGTCCCTCTCCCCACCATTGTCCATATCCTTGGTTGTATATATATGCATATAAATTCTTTGGTTACTCTCTCCCCTCCCCCCACCCGCCCTCCTCCATCCCTCTGTGTATTGATTTTTAGAGAGAGAGAGAGAAACATTGATGAGGGAGAAACATCAACATCTATGGGCTGCCTCCTGCACCCCCCACTGGGCATCCAGCCTGCAACTAACCGACCTGGGGAGCTCTTGGTGCAAGGGCGATGCTCAACCACTGAGCACACTGGCCAGGCGAGTTCTTTATCTGATGAACTGGGTTTGCGCAATGCCCTTCAGGAGGTGGGGGTGAACTAGGGGCTCTCTGGGCAGGGTGTCAGTGAGTGGGACCTGTCCCCTGGGACGTGGGGTGGGCACAAACCCGCAGGTGATCCCATTGTGCCTCTTCACTGGGCAGGCGCAGCGGGTGAAGCCCCTGTGCCCGGCAGGATGCTCAGCTCGTGTGTGCACCTGCCCGCACCTCTGGGGAGCGGGTACTTGGCAGGAGGGCGGGAGGCCTCTAACTCTGATGACTGAGCCTCCAACGGACAGTTTCCTCCCTCCCTTTCTATCTTCCCAAACCCTGTCCCAGACCCTCCGCCAGCCTTCTCTGCTCTCCTGCCCTTTGTTCCTGTCCCTACTCCCTCTTGCCAGGGCCGGGAGGTGTACGGGGTGTCACTGGCCGTGCGGGCAGCTTAGGGACCCGAGGAGGGAGACCAGAGTAGTGACAGCCTTTAGCGAGCAGCTCCTTCCGGGTCTGGTGGGGCCGGAGCCCCTCCCGAGGTCAGCAGATGCAGGGGTTTTGCTGAGGATTGCACGGGGTGGGGGTGGCGGCCGGGGGCAGCTTCCTCTTTCTCTTTGCAGCTTTCTAAAAACGACTGGTTCCCAGAAGGGCTGTGGGTGGGAAAATCGAGTTTCAGTTTCTGTGGCAGGGAAGCAGGGAGACGGGCCACTTCCTCGACCCCTCCCCCTGTCATCCTGTGAGTCAACAGGGGACTGGCAGGGCAGCCTGGCCTCTCTGCCCTGGGACTGCCCACAGCTGGGAGCCCAGGCCAGTTGGAAGTCACTTCTCCTCCCCGCAGGAGGCCCCCAAACTTCCTGATCATGCCTAATGCTTAATAACGGTCTGCTCTTTCCTCCCAGGAGGGACTGCTTACTCTCTCTCCGTTTGTGGCCACTGGCGGTTTGAGCCCACCTGTCCATTACCTGCCAGCTTCTGTCCGGGGCTTGAGCTGATGCTGGCTCCCTGCTCTGGCCCCTCAAGTCCTCAGACCTGGGGTTATGGAGACCCGGTCCATCTTTAGCGAAACCAGGGAGTAGTCTGGAACCTGCTAGTGGGCGTTGGTGGCTGGCAGGTAGAGCCGGGGGAGGGGACTGGAGCCAGACTCCTTGGTGCAGGTGGAACTGGGGGCAGGTTGGCAGACGGAGGAGGGGTGGGAGGCCCTCTAGCACTATGACTGGATGGCACAGTGCTGCTGTTGGGGGCCTCCCTGGGGGACACCTGTGTACCCTGGCAATGTGCTGGGACAGGGCTTCCCTGACAGTGCCCAGCCCCACCCATTGTGGGGAAATTGGCTTCTCCTGCCGCATCAGCAAGTAGGTTCTGAGTCTGCAGTTCCCTCACTTATGCTGGGTCCTGGCTGCTGCTCGCTGGCTTTGGCTGCTGGGGGTGAGGGTGGTGGGGTGCAGACTGGGTGAGGTGGGGCACCTCGACCTGTGTCATGATTTGAGTGCTGCACCACCCCCACCCCAGTCTGGACCCCACCCTAAGCCCTTCCCTCTACCCGGGCCCCTTATGAGTCCCCTAACTACTCTGGGACTGGAGCTGAAGGCCCCACCAAGGCCAGGATCCAGCTGAGGCAGGTGGCTGTGGCTTAGCCAGGAGGGACAGGCCCTTAGACCTCCCTCACCCCCACTCATGGGCTGGGAGCTGCGGCAGGCCAGGGGGTCTTAGAGCAGCGGATGTGACTGTGGGCCAGGAGGAAGCCTGGTCCCAGGATGTCACAGTTTCCTGCAGTGAGCAAGCACTTCTGGGGTGCAGGAGATAAGCGTTGAGCAGGGCACTCCGAGAGCTCCAGCCCTTTTCCGCCTGGGCTCCCCCTAGACTTGGGTTTTGCAGGCAGCCAGTGTGGGTGTGACCACCCCTGCACTGACACCCCCCAACCCTCACTCCCTGAGCCCTAAGGACAGGTTGGGCACATGTGGTCTCAGGAGCAGCCCCTCTCCTCCCCTCCATGGTGGAACAGGACTGGGGAAATTGGTGTTTTTATGCCAAATATGTGGCCTTCCTTAGTGTCAGAGCTGGGCCGTCATCTTCTCCAACCCCCTCACTTAACAGAGAAGGAAACAGGCAGGGTGGGGGGCATTGCTTACAGGCCAGGACTCATAGATGGGGAAAGTGGCTCCGCTAGGTACCACACTCCCCAGAAAATGTCCCCACCCCTGCCTTTGCTCTCTAGGGCCTGGCCACAGCCCATGAGTGGGGGTGAGGGAGGTCTAAGGGCCTGTCCCTCCTGGCTAAGCCACTGCCACCTGGCCACTTCTCAGAACCCCCAGGATTGCCTGGGGCTGGTCCCATCTTTCCAGTCCTTCAGCCTGGGGTTGCGTCTGCCTTTTCCCCCCCATCAGGAGACTGGCACCGATGCTGGCAGCACAGTGGGTCCTGGGCCAGGGGTCCCAGCTGGGGGTGGTATGGCCTTGGGATGGCAGAGCTGGCGGGGGAGTCTGGACTGTTCTGGGGTTGGGGTAACAGGAGGCCCACTGGACACTCATCCTGGGACAGGCAGCGCTCAGTGGAGCCTTCCGGAGGAGGCCGCTTCGTGGGCTGGCTGCAGGGTTGGGGGTGACAGTTTCTGTCCAGGTGGATATGAACTGACTGTCTGCAGCCATACATGTGCCCCCCTCTCGCCTGCCTTCTATCTAGTTAGCTACCAATGGAGCTAACTGTATGTCAGCCCCTGTGCTGTCCAGGACTGTGGGAACACCAGCCGTGCAGGATACTGAGAGAGCTGCTGAGAAAGTGGTTGATTCCGTCTGATGGTGACAAGGAAGGCTTCCTGGAGGAAGTGACACTTTACTTTCATTAAACCAGCTCATAGGCGTTGGCCAGGCAGCCAAGGCGGAGCCTAACATGCCCGGTGCAGAGCCTCACATAAGAGGAGGTGGGAGCTAGGGAGACATGGTGTGTCTGATAGGGTGTAGAGGCAGGTTCTGAAAAGCATGGGGTGCTGATTCCTGGGGTTTGTGGTCAGCTCTGAGTTCCAGAAGGATCCTGCCTGGTTGGTGACCTTACCAGAGCTCAGGCATGGCAGCCCCACGCTCACCCCCAGCCTCCCTCTGCTGCCTGCCTGCCTCCCTTCTTGATGCCAGTTTCCCAGGGCAGTGCTTACGCGATGCCCTCCCTTTGCCCCCGGTCCCAAAGGAGGCCAAGCCAGGGAACTTTCCATGCATGGGCCCCAGTGAGGCTGTCGTCTTAGAGCTGTCCCTAGAGTGGACTCAGAGTAGCATCATCACATGGCTTTAAGGACTCTGAGGAACCAGCCTGCCCAACGCCGAGGCCCACTGCCCGTAACATCCACGGCCAGGCTGCCCTGGGCTGCCCTGGGGCATGGGCTCAGGGCTCCCAGCGCTTGGGTATAGAAGGAAGGATGCCTGAGTCTGTTTATGCCTTAAAGAAATAAGAAACCTCCTGAGCCCCCAGCTCTGCCTCAGGTCCCTCTCCAGGGCCCCCTCCACACCAAAAGTTCCTGTCACCTGTAGTTGGAGGGCTTAGGTAACCAAAGACCCTGAGCTAATATGTAGAGCAAAGGGGGTGCTGCCCTGTGGACTCAGAGGGGGGCCCAGACCAGCCCCCAGCCTCTGGTCCATCCCAAAGCAGTTCCTTGGCCCCTCTCGGTGCCCAGGCTTCTGAAAAACACAGTTTGCAAAGTGCTCAGATGCTGACCAAGATTTCCTGTGGCCTGCACTCTCCACTCTGTCTCCTTTAGTGTGGAAGGGGGTGGGGGGAGAGAGAGAGGGAGAAACATCTATGTGAGAGGGACACATCAATTGGTTGCCTCCACTGACCGGGGCCAGGGACTGAACCTGCAACCCAGGTATGTGCCCTTGACTGGGAATCGATCCCGAAACCCTTCGTGTGCGCAGGCCAATGCTTGATCCACTGAGCCACGCTGGCCAGGGCCAAGTTACTCCCTTTTTAATGCTTCATTTTCTGTTGGGTGGATTCCACCTCAATAAATACTTAACGAACCAAAACAACAGCAACGAGAACATTTCCAAGTCGCTGAGCACGGTCCTTCCTTTCTCGCAGGCTCGTGGCCGTGAGCACTCGGGAGCCGCCCTGCTGGCCCAAAGGCCCCCGCCGCCTTCCCTCTGAGCCCACCCCTGCACGGCGGAAGCTTCGCCCCGGAGCATCTGTATGAAGTGAGGGACTAGAACATGCTCTAAAGGCCTCTGCAGCGGACCCAGCAAGCTGTCAGCTGAGCCCAGACTTGAAGGTAGGAAGCCGGGTAGCCAGGAGAGTGGGCTCTGGCACTGGCTGCTTCCCCGCCGTTTGTTTGTTTTTCAACAAATACCTGGTGGTGCCACCTGTGGGCCGGCACTCTCCTGGCAGTGGAGGTGCAGCAGTGAATACCAGGCAGCTGCTTCAGGTAGTTAGGGAGAGCTCCTCGGAGGAGGTGGCGTGCAACCTGGGACCGGAATGATGAGAAGGAGCCGCCTACTCTGTTGTGCGATGATCCGATCTGGGCACGGAGGGACCGGCATGGGGAGAGGCCCAACATTTATGGAGCACCTACTTGAGGCGTTTTATAAACAGCTTTATTGAGATATAATTCACCTAAAACCATCCTTTAAAGTGTGTGATTCAGTGGTTTTTAGGGTATCCACAGGTAGGTATGACCATCACCACAATTAGCTTCAGAACATTAACCCTCACCCTTCAGCCACCACCTCCCCCAGCCCCGAGCAAGGACTCATGTCTCTGGATTTGCTTATTGGGACTTTTATCTGGATGGACTCCTGTAGCATGGGACACGCTGCTTGTGTGTGTGTCCTATTCACTCACACGATGCTCAGGAGGGAGGAAGTTAGTCCCCCGTCGTAGGTGAGGATGGGGGTGACCTGTGGTCAAGGGCAGGTCCGTGTGCCCGTCAGGCCGAGGCCTCCTGGCTCCAGTCTGTGGTTTGGGCCACGACTCCCCAGTACCTCCCTGCAGGGTGGGCAGGAGGGGGCAAGGCGGAGACAAAGCCACACAGGGCCCAGAGTTCCCAGTGAGAAGCCTGGACTGTACTTTAAGTGAGAATAGGAAGCTCTGGGACAGTTTTGAGCAGCAAGTGACTGTGATTTTGTGCCTTTAGAAGGCGACTTCTGCTGCTGTTTGGAGAATGGTCATGAGGGTGGAGGCCCAGGGGCAGCAGGTAGAGGAATTAGGAGGCCTCTGTGATGCTTCAGGTGATAGATGGTGGCCCTGGTGGGGCCCAGGTAGAGATGGAGGAGACGAACAGATTTGGAACATATGTGACCACTGTGTAACCCGATCATCCCATACCTTGGCCCCACCTGCCCTTGGCCAGAGGGCTCGTGTGTCACCCTCCCCGTCATCTGTGCACACCCAGGGTTGGCACCCTCATCGGAAGGTGGCAGTGGGGTCCCTGGCCTTGTCCGGGGTGAAGAAGAAACCAAACCTGCCCCAGGAACCTTGGGAAGTGGGGCGAGGAAAGAGCTAAGGATTTTATGGAGCAAAAGGTCCCGGGGCAGCGTGAGTGATGCGAGGAAGAGCACAGCATAGGCAGAGGGTGTTGATTCTGGTGGAATCCAAGGGGACGTGGGGATTGGAGTCTGGGGTAAATTACCCACCTCCTTTTGGCAGGGCCATTTGGCAAGATCTGTTGAAATTCAAGACACACTTGTGTCCAACCCAACCCAACCCAGCAATTCTACTTCTCGCACTTTGTCTGTGATAGCACTCGGACATGCACATGCAGCACAGACAGGACTGTTCCTTAACATCAGACGTGAGTCTGAAGTGCTGGAAGCATCCTAAATAACCGCCAGCCTGGAACTGAGTAAATCTCAGGGCCTTCCTCTCGGTGAGATCTGCAGTTGGCAGGAAAGAGATCTGTCTATGTGTGCTGACGGGACAGTGTGCCTGCCACAGGAGGACAGGTGTGAGTGTGGGTGAAGTACCTACCTGGGTCCTGTTCCAGGGGGCATCTGGAAGGACAGGCACACAGCTCCCTCCAGGACAGGTGACAGGCAGGCCACGAGCTCACTCTCTGCTTTATGGAGTCCTCTGACTCTTCTTCCATTCTTTTTTTTTTTTTTGCAATGAACATATATCACTTGTATTTTGATAGAAAAGTACACAGGTGGCAGTTTCGGTTACCTCTGAAAAAGGAACCAGGCAGTCTTGGGGGACAGGGACAGATGGCTTTCTGGTCTGAGAATTAGACTGAGCCGCCACTTCCTCCCGGCAGTGTGGGGCCGTAGTTTGTTGTTTGTGGACCGGTCACCAGACTGCTCCCCAGCCTTCTTGTCCTCCCCCAGGGACAAAGGCCAGGCCTGGCCCCTGGTGGCCAAGATCTCTGTGGCTCCCCATCTTCTGTCTTCCTGTTCCTTTCCGTGTGTGGTCCTTGCCTGAGCAGAGACCAGAAATGGACCGAGGTGGAGGGTTGGGGGCTTCCCAGCTCCCACTGGTCTGGAATTCAAATGAAGGGGGACAGAAATAGACCTTCGTGGCGTACCCCCCTCAGCCGGGTTCAGTCTCTACCGCGTGGCTTAGTGTCCGGAGTTAGGTGAGAACCAACTTTTGGCAGGTTGTTCTCAGTCTGGGCTGCCCTCCCTGGCACCTGGGTCCCCGTGTCCCCTCCCATTCTCAACACACCTGTGCTTCCCTCCCTGTCTCCTTTCCAGCCGCCCTGCCCCCTGCCCACCATGGCCTCTGTGGACAAGAATGGCGAGAGCGTCTCCTCTGTGTCCAGCAGCCGGCTGCAGAGCCGGAAGCCGCCCAACCTGTCCATCACCATCCCGCCTCCCGAGGCCTCAGCCCCCGACGAGCAGACCAGCATGCTGCCCCAGGTAAAGGGCAGCCTGTGGGCTCTCTGCCCTGCCGCAGGTGACACGTGTGCCCACATGACACCTTTGGGGCAGCTCCACTTCCTGGAGGAGGTTCCTTCCCCAGCACTGCCGCCTGGGTGGCCCTTGACTTAGGCCTGTACCCCGCTTTCCTGGGCCCGGACATCACAGGGAGCAGGCCCTGAACTCAGGAGCTCCATCTCCATCTCCTGGTGGTCCAGGCAAAACAAGAAATGCTGTGTCTGAGAACGGGCTTGTCGGTCCCACCTGGGACTTGGCTGTTTCCATGTCCTTGCCCAGGCCCTTCCGAGGGCTGTGGGCTGTCTGGGACTTGGGGGAAGGGGGCCCATGCGTCTTTGGCATCAGCAGCCTGACCTCACAGCGCCTGCTCCTCTGAGAAGAGAAACGAATCAATGTTTCCAACGGGCTGGACCACTGGTCCATAAAGAGCTCATTGAAAACAGGCTCGAAACAGCGTGGGCTCCCGCACAGCCTGGGACATAAAGGGGACCTGTGTTGATGCCGCCCGCTCGCCCCAAGGGCTCTTTCAGACATACAGAAACAGGCCAGGACATCCTGGTGTGACGAGGGAGGAGTCGGGGAAATGCATGCTGGGCTTTCTGAAAAACGTTAGAAAACGGTGATTTTACCTTCAGAACAAAAGCAGCTTGGGGTGTAAGCTGGGGTTGAGGTCTGTTCCCTTAGAGTTTTCATGTTGGGAGCCAGCGGAGATGTAGCCTGGGACCCGGGCACGTGCGCACACCCACACCCACCCTCTGCTGCCTCCCGCCTCCCCACAGAGGCCCAGGAATCCAGCCTACTTGAAGAGCGTCAGCCTCCAGGAGCCACGGGGACGATGGCAGGAGGGCTCCGAGAAGCGCCCCGGCTTCCGCCGCCAGGCCTCCCTGTCTCAGAGCATCCGCAAGTGAGCCCCCCGGCCGCCCCAGCGGCCCCCCTCCTAGAAGGCATAGGCAGGCACGAGCAGCCTCCCCCTGCAGGGTGGACGTGGGAATCTAGCCCCGAGTTACAGCTGGGGACGCTGAGGCCCGGGGGGGTATGTGCTTTGCATAACGTCCCAGGTTGATTCTGAGGGGTTCAAGGAGGTGGGGGTGGGTCGCTGCCACTCAGAGTGGCTCTCAGAGGCCAGCCCAGCCCAGCTCCTCAGGCTCTGGCCTTGATTCCACCTCTGCTCATCTGGCCATTGGAGACCGAACCAGGGGCTCAGGGGAAGCTGATCTGCCACTGCACACACACGTGCCCTGTCACCTTGTCACCCCTGCATGCACATGTGTGCCATCAACTCTCATCGCTTCCCTTTGCACACATGTGCCATCATCTAAAGTCAGCCCCCTGTACACGCAGATGCCCTGTCACCTCGTCACTCCTGAATGTACACTTGCACCGTCAGCTCTCCCATCACTTCCCCCGTGCACCCATGTGCTATGACCTCAGGTCACCCCCCCGACCCCTGCACATGCACCTCCCCAGCAGCACTCCTCGTGGCTGCCCCGCTGTGCGTGTGCGCACACACCTGCCTCCTCTGTCCACAGGGGCACCGCGCAGTGGTTCGGGGTCAGCGGCGACTGGGAGCTGGAGCGGCAGCACTGGCAGCGCAGAAGCCTGCACCACTGCAGCGTGCGCTACGGCCGCCTCAAGGCCTCGTGCCAGCGCGACCTGGAGCTCCCCAGCCAGGACGTGCCTTCCTTCCAGGCCACCGAGTCTCCAAAGCCCTGCAAGATGCCCAAGGTGGACTCCATCAGGGACCAAGAGGGCAGCGGGCGACTTCGCCCAGGGGCCCGTCCGCTCTGCTCACCGCCTCCCTCCCTTGCAGATTGTGGACCCTCTGGCCCGAGGCCGGGCATTCCGCCACCCTGACGAGGTGGACCGGCCCCACGCCCCCCACCCACCGCTGACCCCGGGGGTTCTGTCCCTCACCTCCTTCACCAGCGTCCGCTCTGGCCACTCCCACCCTCGCCGGAAGAAGATGTCTGTGGCCCACATGAGCTTTCAAGCTGCCTCTGCCCTCCTCAAGGTGAGATGCCCCCCTGCCTCCGCCCAGTCTCCCTCCCTCTCCTGACAGCAGCCCCCAGAGCTCACCCAGGCTCCTTCCTTTGTGCCCAAGGCAGTGGATGCCTGGAATCCCTGGGCAGAGAGAGGGGGCCTGCAGCCCAGCAGCTGGGCCCACGTCCTAGCCCCAGTTCCCAGCTGAGCCCCTGCCATCTCTCTGGTTTGGGAAACTGGTTTCTGCACCCACATGGGCTGGGAGAGCAGGAAGTGAAAGATGCAGTCAGCACTCATCACCCGTTTACTGAGCCCATCGTTTGTGCTGGGCAGGGGGCTGCAGAGGGAAATGAGCCAGTGTTCCTGCCCTAGACGAGCCCCAGCCCAGGTGAGGGTGGATGTCACCATTCAGTGTGATAAGTGTAGGGCCTGCCTGGAGGAGGTGCTGCCCCATCTCGCCCAGGAGAGGGGCTGATGTCAGGGAAGGCACTTGAGCTGAGCTCAGAAAAATAAGGAAAAATTTGCCAGGAAAGGAAGGAAAGGAACAGCATTCTCAACAGAGGGAATGGCTTATGCAAAGGCCTGGAGGTAGGAAGGGGCATGGCCCTTTGGGGGAGCAGCAGGTGGGTCCATGTGGTTTTAGTTACAATGGCAGGAGATGGGGTCCAAAAGGTGGGCAGGGGCCTAGTGCGCCGTACCGAGAAGCGAGGACTTGAAGGAGTGGCCCACGTCTCGGGACTAAGGATGCGGGATGAGTGGTGGGTGCCAGCTGCCCGAGCCAGAGGGCAGGAGGTGGCCGGGGAGAAGATAGGCGCAAGCCGTGGGGAAAGGGATGGTGCATTCAGGGCTCTGGAGAAGCTAGTGCCTTGTTCCTGGCCCTCCATGCTCTGGGCGGGGTTCCACCTCCCAAGGCAACTGGGGGGGGGGCTTGACGATTTCTCTGGTGTCAGGGGCACCTGACTAGAGCCTAATGCCCTTGCCTCTGCCCTGTGCACAGGGACGCTCAGTACTGGATGCCGCTGGACAGCGGTGCCGGGTGGTCAAACGCAGCTTCGCCTACCCCAGCTTCCTGGAGGAAGATGCAGTCGACGGGGCAGACACATTCGACTCCTCGTTTTTTAGTAAGGCAAGCGTGGGGTGTGGGCCCTCGGGGCAGGGGGCAGGGTGGCCTGGGAGCTAGGAGAGTTGACTTGGCCCCGACCATTCCCTGCCAGGAGCCCCTGAGGGATCCAAAGGCCCATTGGTGGGATAGGATATGCCACCTCACGGAGCTCCTGAGTCCCCATGTTACTGTCGGGCTGAGCGAGGACCTGGGGGTGAGGCAGGGTGCCCACCAGCAAAGTCACCGTCAGAGCCAGCACACATGGACCTTTCGCTTCCCTCCCAGAGAGCCTGCCTGTCCTTGAGTTGAGCTGTGGGGGGCAGTGTCAGGGACAAGGACTCCTTACACTGTCTCTTTTTGTGTCCTTCACGCCCACCCCCACCCCAGGAAGAAATGAGCTCCATGCCCGATGATGTGTTCGAGTCTCCTCCCCTCTCCGCCAGCTACTTCCGGGGGATCCCACGCTCGGCCTCCCCCGTCTCCCCCGATGGGGTGCAGGTCTCTCTGTGAGTTCTGGGCAGTCCCTCCTGCAGGAGGAGGAAGGTGGCATAGCTGGGAAAGGGCTCCCCAGAGCCCAGTGACCCCGGGGGCCCCCCCGGACCACAAGTCCCTCCTGGGTCTTATGAGGTGGGCATTATGCTGAGAGCCACTGTCCCCAGCAGGAAGGAGTGTGGCCGCGCCTCCTTGCCTGTGGCCAAGCGCGGCAAGCGCATCGCCTCCAAGGTGAGGCACTTTGCCTTCGACCGGCAGAAGCGGCACTATGGCCTGGGCGTGGTGGGCAACTGGCTGAACCGCAGCTACCGCCGCAGCATCAGCAGCACGGTGCAGCGGCAGCTGGAGAGCTTCGACAGCCACCGGTGAGTGGGCGGGAGCCGTGCCGGGGCCTGTCCACCCCAGAGCACCTGGGAAGGGTCCCCGGGCACTTGGTGCCTCTTCTCCACCTTCCCACTTCCTGGGCTCCCAGGTGGCAATCCATCAACAGCCTCCATTGAGTGCCAGCCCACAGGCCTGCAGAATGGATCGGGGAGGGCCGGACAGAATGGATCGGGGAGGGCCGGATGGGTCAGAGGGACAGTTAGGAGCCGTGACCATGAGTGAGGGGACTGGTGGGAGAGGACACGTACCAAGACCTTGGGAGAAGCCAAAAAATGGAGAGGGGCAGTTCTCGAAGAGTGGACGATTGGCAGCCACCGAACAGACATTAGACCGCAAATTAGAAAAAATTAATAACAGATGTGGTGAGAGTCCTGCGGAGTAGGACAGAGGGGGAGTGAGCAGCTGCGGGGGTGCAGTCAGGATGAGCAGCAGTGAGCTGGCTGAAGAGAATGGGAAGAGCATCCCTGACAAAGGAAGCAGGGTGTGCAAAGGCCCTGTGGCTGCGAGGAACTGCAAGAGGAGGGGAAGGAGGCTGGGGAGGGGGGCACAGCAGGGCCTTGCAACCAGTGGGAGGGGGCTGATACTAGACTTTATCCCAAAGGCATCGGGAAGCCATCCAAAGGTTTCAAGCTGGGAGCTGCGTAGAGGTGCCTTTTAGGAGTTACTGGTGAAGGATGAGTGGGAGGGAGAAGGGTGGAGGGGAGAGAGCAGGTGAGAGCTGAGCATGGGGTGCTGACTCAGGCCTCTGCCCCAGGCCCTACTTCACCTATTGGCTGACTTTCGTCCACATAATCATCACGCTGCTGGTGATCTGCACATACGGCATCGCTCCCGTGGGCTTCGCCCAGCACGTCACCACCCAACTGGTGAGTGGGCTGCAGAAGTTGGGCTCCGTATGGGGGTCCTGGCCCCCCAGGAGGCCTCAGCATAATGGGCCACCAAATGCCTCCCACGGCAACAACCTGGCCCAGGTGGGAGGGTGCGCTGGGCTCCCACTGCTTTGCTGGAGGAAGGGGCCCAACCCTGGATGGAAACCCCTCTTCCCACCTCCCTCCTTCCACCTCTGTGCCAGGTGCTCAGGAACAAAGGTGTCTACGAGAGCGTGAAGTACCTCCAGCAGGAGAACTTCTGGATTGGCCCCGGCTCGGTAAGAGCCCAGGGGACAGCATCTCAACAGGAGCCCTGGGCCTGTCTCCTCCAGCTGGGCAGGGAGGGGCTTGGCCTGCCCTGTACCCCCCCTCATCAGGGGACACTCAACAGAGGGGCCAGGTCTGGGCCAGAACTCACTCCCTGCCCCCCATAGATTGACTTGATCCATCTGGGAGCCAAGTTCTCGCCCTGCATCCGGAAGGACCGGCAGATCGAGCAGCTGGTGTCCCGGGAGCGAGACCTGGAGCGGGACTCAGGCTGCTGCGTCCAGAATGACCACTCCGGCTGCATCCAGACCCAGAGGAAGGACTGCTCGGTGCGGGCAGGGGCCACCATCCTCCCTGGGCCCCTATACCACGTCCACTTACCCTGGCCTAGGGGAGGGACCCTTCAAGGGCAGTGACCATGTTCCCTCTTCCTTCCTCTCCCTTCCTCTGCCCTCCCCAGCCTCACACACCCCTGTACATGGTCTAGCACTGGGAGGATGCCACCCTCCCCAACCCAAGCAAGTGAAAGCTGGGTCTTGAGAGTGTCACCCAGGGGTGGGGGTCTGAGAGATGGGCCTGAGCCCTGAGATGGGAAGAGCCCTTATCCTGAAGGATCCCCTAACCACTTGGATTGGTGTGGTCCTGTCCTGGCATGACCAGCCTACCTCCATCTCCCAGGAGACTTTGGCTACTTTTGTCAAGTGGCAGGATGATATGGGGCCCCCCATGGACAAGTCCGATCTGGGCCAGAAGCGGACATCAGGGGCTGTGTGCCACCAGGACCCCAGGTATAGTCCCAGGGTGGCCCGCAGCAAGGCTGAGAAGATGGGGTTGAGGATCCCTTTGTCTGTGCCACCCACGGGGACATTGGTGGGTGGGTGTGGTGGGCTGGGGGTGCCAGAGCCCCTCATTTTGCCCCCCTCTGACCTCTGCCTCCAGAACCTGTGAGGAACCGGCCTCCAGCGGTGCCCACATCTGGCCTGATGACATCACCAAGTGGCCAGTGAGTATCCAGAGCAGAGAGTGGTCTGGGAAAGGCAGGGAAGGGGCTCCCACCACACAAGCCGACCCCCCGTTGGTGCCCCACAGATCTGCACAGAGCAGGCCAGGAGCAACCGCACGGGCTTCATGCACATGGACTGCCAGATCAAGGGCCGGCCCTGCTGCATCGGCACCAAGGGCAGGTGAGCCACCTGGCCCTCCGCCCAGGGCCCCCTGCACTCGCCCGAACTGGGCTGATGTCCTCCCTCGTCTACTCTGGGGCCACCTGTGGTGGGAGCAGGATGAAGGGGTGCTTTCCCTAGAGCCTAAGTCTCTGCAGAGGGGCATCGCCTTCCCACTAGTGTTGCTGGCTGTGGCCAGGCACTGGCTCCAAGCCAGGTGGGCAGGGGTACTACGGGCCCTGACATCTTCCCTGTCCCCCAGCTGTGAGATCACCACTCGAGAGTACTGTGAATTCATGCACGGCTATTTCCATGAAGAGGCAACGCTCTGCTCCCAGGTGAGGCAGGGCCTGGGCATAAGAAGCTGGGCATAGCAGCTACTGGAGCTGGCCTCATGGGTGCCCTCCTGCAGCGGGTATCAGCTGTGCCCCCCACACCAGGGCCTCCAACCCAGCCAGGTCCTGGGCACTGACCCCCACGCCCTCACCACCAGGTGCACTGCTTGGACAAGGTATGCGGGCTGCTGCCCTTTCTCAACCCTGAGGTCCCAGATCAGTTCTACAGGCTCTGGCTGTCTCTGTTCCTCCACGCTGGGTAAGTCTTCTCAATGCCCACCCCCCAAGCCCCTGTGGTGGCTGCCCACCTTCACCTCCTGTGGAGGGGCTCCTGCGCCAGGGCCCAGCCAGCACCCACTGCTCCTGAAGCGCCTGGCTGGTGACTGTGGCAGACGTAGGAGGCTTATGCCTGTGTCCCCCCCACCCCAGCCTGGTGCACTGCTTCGTGTCCGTGGTCTTCCAAATGACCATCCTTCGGGACCTGGAGAAACTGGCCGGCTGGCACCGCATCTCCATCATTTTCATCCTCAGTGGCATCACCGGCAATCTCGCCAGTGCCATCTTCCTCCCATACCGGGCAGAGGTAGGGACTCTGGCCGGGTAGGAGGGACGGGAGGGCCAGCTTGGATGCTCCCCACCCCGCCTGCACAGCGTCTGCCAGAGGGACACATGGCCCCTTCCATGCTGGGATCAGCAACGGATGGACTGCTAAGCTCTAGGCTTATTGGACGATCCTTTAATCCTGGGCCCTGAGGGAGCATGTCCCTGAGTCATGCTCAGATGGCACCTCCAGAAAGACCTTTCTGGATGCTGTCCCTCACTCTGATCCTTCTCTCTGCTTTGTTTCTCATGACCACGACCAATGCCTGCCACCATATCAAACATCTGTAGGCTGAGCCATAGGAAGTGGCTAGTATGTGACTGTTTACACACAGGGTCGGCAGTGTTGTTTTTGTTGTTTGTCTTTTAAATATGTTTTTAAAAAAAAATTTTTTTTTTTATATGTCTTTATTGATTTCAGAGAGAGGAAGGGAGGGGGAGAGAGAGAGAAACATCAATGATGAGAAAGTCATCGATAAGCTGCACTCCCCCACCGGGGATCGAGCCTGCAACCCGGGCATGTACCCTGACCTGAAATCGAACCCATGACCTCTTGGTACATGAGATGATGCCTAACCCACTGAACCACACTGGCCAGGCAGTTTTTGATCTGCTCACCCTAACGCTGTTGCCCTGTCCAGTGTCTGTCCCCTCCCCTGGAGCACCGGGCACAGAGAAGTGCCTCTCTGCTGAATGTTGGGTGGAAGCAGCCCAGCCTTGGTCCAGCAGCTCCCTGTCCCCTGAGCTGCAGGGCCCACCGTGGGAAGGGGTCTTGGATAGGATGACTCGGGTTCCAGCGCTTCAGCCCGGCTGTGCCCGGGCTCCCTGTGTGCCTGGTCCCTGGCAGTGACCCGCCTCCCCTCCCCCCGCCAGGTGGGCCCGGCCGGCTCGCAGTTCGGCCTCCTCGCCTGCCTGTTCGTGGAGCTCTTCCAGAGCTGGCAGCTGCTGGAACGACCCTGGAAGGCCTTCCTGAACCTGTCGGCCATCGTGCTTTTCCTGTTCGTGTGCGGCCTGCTGCCCTGGATCGACAATATCGCCCACATCTTCGGCTTCCTCAGTGGCCTGCTGCTGGCCTTCGCCTTCCTGCCCTACATCACCTTCGGCACCAGCGACAAGTACCGCAAGCGCGCCCTCATCCTGGTGTCGCTGCTGGTCTTCGCCGGCCTCTTCGCCTCGCTGGTCATCTGGCTCTACGTCTACCCCATCCACTGGCCCTGGATCGAGTACCTCACCTGCTTCCCCTTCACCAGCCGCTTCTGCGAGAAGTACGAGCTGGACCAGGTGCTGCACTGACCGCGTGCCTCGCGGGGCCCTGCGACAACACAGGGATGGCGCCTGGACGGGCTGCCTGCCCGGGAGCGCCCCGCCTACACTCCAGAGACACCAGCAGGGTGCCCGGGCCCTGGTCCCAGTTCAGAGGAGGTCACAAAGGCGGGTTCCTCGGGGGACTGAGGTCCCCCCCTGCTGTGTTCCTGGCCCTGGCTGGGGAGCACTCTGAGCACCTGCTTCTCCGAAGCTTAGAGCTCGGGCCCCGACTTACCCTGCTGCTGGGACCGCCACCTGGGGGTGGGTTTCTTTCTTCCCAGGGTTCTCAGGCTGCTGCCATTTCCCACCCCAGCCTTTACTGGTGCCTGTGCCCTTACCAGGGACGTGGCCAGGGGTCCCAGCAGGTTCCCACCTCCTCCTCACCACGGCCCCCTTCCCTGTCTCTCCTGCCCTCTCTGCCCCACGAGCCCACTTGGCAGTGGCCTGCTGAGTCTGCCCGTAAGGTGGCCAGACACTGGGAGAGGCTGCGGCCGTGGCCCGGCGCGGAGAAGCGGCGTGGAGAGAGACTGGGAAGCCAGGAGCCTTCTCCTTGGGAGCAGGCGGAGGCCGTACCCCCTGCATTCCTCGTCAGCCAGTGTTCTGCCTGGGGTCTGGCTCTGACAACAGCCCGTCCCACCGCCCGTGATGTGGGCGGGGTCTGGGCCACCCCAAGGACCCTGCTCCCAGGGGTTGCCCAAGGCTCGATCAGGCCCATTTTTTACTGGTTCATATTATGGTCCTAATTTTTAAAAGTAACGCTAACTTTGTATGGATGATGTCTCAGATGTATTAAATGATACTCTTTGAGGAATATCATCTTTTGACCTGAGGCCTTGGAAAGAAGGAAAGCTGGAGCCTTATTTTGGGGGTGGAGGGTGGGTCAGCTGGGAGGAACTCGAGGGCAGGGGCTTGGCAAAAAGGAACAGCGGAAAGCTTGTGGAACTGGTGGGGGATTTGGTTGGAACAGAAACCAGGCTGGGGTCCCATGGAGGGCCTCAGAGGGGTCCCTTGAAAGGCTGGAGTTAAATTCTGAGACCTCCGGCATCCCCTAGCCCCACGTGGGCTGAGGGGCAGGCCACCCTGGACAGCTCCATTCACTGTACCAGTGCCTCACCCAACCCTTTTCCCCACCCACGGGGGCCACCCAGGAGGTGATGGGCACGACCACTTTATTACTGTGGGCAGAGGACCCAGGGTACCTGGAGCTGGGGGAGGTAGCCCCTGCACTTTCTGCTCCCAGCACCCCCCCACATTCCAGGGCTAAGCTTGAGAAGGGACATCCCTGGGACTGGAGGGAACAAGGGCCCTGAGCACTGGGCTCCTGTGAAGAGGAGGACAGGGCCCTGGTACTGAGCCCCGCCCGCCTGCCTGGAGGACCCCATTGGTCCCTGAGGAAAGGATGGACCCGAGGCAGGGCAGCCTCTGTCCCCGGTTGCCATCCCCGTCTCAGGCACAGTTTGGAGTGTGGGAGGTCCAGAGGGTCTCATGGGGACACACTGCAGGACACATCACTCGTGTTCCAGCTGGGAGAACTGGTCGTGTTCTCTTTATTTCACCCCTCCCCCCTTCCTGGGAATCCCAGATGAGCAGGGGACTGGGGGCTGGAGAGGACCCCCCAGCCTGCCTCCCCACGTCTCCCCCAGGGCCCTGGGCAGCCAGTTCAGCAGCTGTACCTCCTCAGGGAGGTGTGGCCCTGCAGGGAGCACTGGAGCTCTGTGAAGGCCAGCGGGCCCACAGTGACGGCGCAGCGGCCCACGGGGTGGAAGCCGAGCCTCTTGTAGAAGGGCACCAGGGCATCCTCGCACATGAGCACGGCCCGGCGCACGGCCGGCTGGCCGCTCAGGTGGCACAGGTACCGCCACAGCAGGATGGAGCCCTTGCCCTGCTGCCGGAAGGTGCGGTGCACGGCCAGCACGTGCAGGTGGGCTGTGTGGCCCCTGGGCCGGTGCAACATCAGCGACTCCTGGGGGCAGGCGAGAGGCGAATCCAAGTCACCTCTTCTGACACCTGCTGCCCACACCACCCACACCTGGGTCCAAGAGCAGGTGTCCCCTGAGTGCCTCCCATCAGGGCTCTCCCACCCAAGGAGGACCCCAAACTGAGTTCACACCCTCAGACCCTTCACGAGGGCTTTTGAGACCCCAGTGATCTGGGACCTCTTGCCCTGGAAGAAGACCCCCAGTCTGTGCCGTGTCTGGTTTGGAGGAAGAAATCCCAGTTCTGAGTTCCCACCTTCGTCTGGCTATGAGAGGAGCCAGGGGCCAGGGGTGGTGGGCTCCCTTCCACAGGCTTCCAGGGGCTGGGCATTGCAGCCCCGCACCTGAGAGTCCACCCAGCCCTGCGCTCACCTGAGTGAGTCTCTCCCCGTCCCAGAGGGAGCCGATGACAAAGGCCACAAGGCGGCCCTCCTGGAACCAGCCCAGGGACAGCTCTGGACACAGGGTCAGAAAGTGCTGGATCTCGTCAAGGTTCAGGGGGCACATGCCCGAGACAGAGATAAAGGCTGGGGCAGGAGACACAGGTGGGCAGCTCGGTGGTCACCGTGCCACATGTCCACCCCCAACCCTCCTCTGCAGGAAAGTAGGGGATTCAGGGCTACACACACACAGTCTGATATTCTAGGGTCCCAGCGACAAGGACAGGAGACGCGAGGGCCTTCTCCCCACAGGGCGGCTGCAGTGCCGTGGTATCTGGGCCCCATGCGGGCTGCTCACCTTCACGCTCGATCTCAAACACACTGGCAGCATCCTGAGGGGTAAGGCAGCGAAACTCGCTGGCAGGGAGTGTGTGGCGCCGCTGGTAGCTTGGGGACTCTGGCATCCCAGGTGGCAGGCGCAGGGCCACGGGAGTCAGGTAGGGAATGCTCTGCATGGGCATCCTCGCCGTTGGTGACACCTTTGGTTGCCCTGGCTCAGGAACTGGCCTCCGCAGCAGAGGAAGGCACCCAGAACCTGTTGGAGAGCGGTGAGGGTCAGGGGTCTGGCCTCTTCTCCCCGAGGGACAGGCCAGAGCGGTGGTGTCTCGCCTCTTTTGTAGCTGGACCTGGGGTGGGGCCAGCCCCAAAGCAGATGTGCACATTCCCTGGTGCCTGGCCCCCAGGGCTGTTTTGAGAACTAAACACCGGTGCTCTCCCCCTGCCTTCTCTCAGCCTGAAGTGCCGAAGAGCAGCCCCTCCAAACCTCCATTCTAGCCTCTCTGCCCTCCAGTGCATCAGAGCCCCAGGAGAGAGCAGGAGGGGTGGGCAGGGCTCAGCGGAGACCAGGGCACCCAACACTGTTGCCCAGGGGAGGAGGGCGCATGCGCCTCCACTGACTACTTCTAATGCAACTGTGGGGTGGG